AAAAAAAAAAAAAAAAAAGCCCAAGGCCCTGCCTATGTGTGGGGGCCTTCTAACCTCCAGGCCCCCTGTCCCTTGTTAGGATGAAATCTCGGGATTCTGCTGGAGACAATGAGAAAAATTTAAAAGAAGACGCAGCAACCCAGTTGCCTGAGACTTTTCATCCAAGGGAGAAATGTAATAGAGAAAGCACAACCATACACTTTTGCCAAAATTAGATGCTATCAGCTGAAATGACTGCTTTTGACCGCATTTCCACCAGGCCACCGAAATGGGCTTCCAGCTAAGGGGGCATCGATCTTCCTAGTAATAACAGTAATAAGCCCTGGGATTTGTACAGAGCTCTGCAGTTACAAAGGCATTCACATACATTATCTCATTCGCTCCTGGCAGCAGCTCTGTATGGGGATAATAGTCCCCACTCTACGGATGCGGAAACTGAGCCCCAAACGTGTCAGCAGACATCTGACTTGGGGGTTTTGAACTATCCCAAGTTCAGTGCTCTCACTACTATATAGTGTTTTCCTTCTATTACTCATAAAAATCCACATTATCGCTGCAGCCTTACCCCCTGCTGGGAGGAAATGATGAACTTGGAAAGGAAGGCAAAGTGCTTAGCATGTTTCTTGACACATAGTGAGTGCTTGGCATGTGACGACTACTGTTGGGGAAGGGGCATTGAGGTGGAATCATCAGGATCACAGCGTTCGGGTCAGAAAGGTCTGGACTTGAGTCTTGAGCCTGGCCCCTTCTCTGAAAATGCATTATGTGCAGTGGACCATGTAGTTTAACCTCCCCGAGGACATGAACGCCCACCTCAGAAGGTAGAACTTGAAAGGAGATTCGAATGTGCATGCAGAGCTCTGTAAGATGCCTGTGCTCAGTGTTCAGTCAGTGTAGTGTCATTATCAAAAGCATGTGCTCCTAGACCCTATGGTAAGAAAACAATGCGATGCCTGCCTTAGACCCAGATGTTATCATCTCACAGTTAAACACCTTGATGTTTAAGCCTCAGGGATTGAAAGGCCTCCTGTCTCTGCCTTGCTCCCTGCCTCTAAGGGGGTTTACGGGAGTGTTCTGTGGACCCGCAGCTTCTGTGCTCCACAGAGCCGGTCTCCGTTGTGGCCAGGTACCTGTATATGATGCACGCCGTGTTCTGGCAGGTACTGCAGTTGTTGAGATCTTGGCCAGTTCGATAAAAGTTGCGCCTGCAAGATAGAGCATTCGCTGGATAAATCTTTGGGCAAAAGTCCCACAGGATGCACGCATCCTACTGAGTCCTTCCTGCAGCATGGCACTACCCCTCCCATCAGGAGCCATGCTCTGAAGCTATGGGACCATTACAAATAAACAAGGAACCATGATAATAGGGTCTCACATTTCTAGAGATCTTATAAATATTTACGCACTTTTAAATCTCAGGGTTTCCTCATGCTGGCAACAATCCTGGGAGATGAGTCAGCTCTTCTTAACCTCTTGTGATAGAGGGGAAACTGAGGGACTTTGCCAATGAGTGGAAGGGGGGTTGTTAAAACTCCTGACCCCTTAGTCCAGTGCGTCTCCTTCTGTACCACACCAGTGCTGCTCTCCTATAAGGCAATGTTGTTTCTGATTCGTATCAGCAAATGTCACTTAATTTCCTCTCCCCTCTCCTACCCTTTTGTTGAGGAGCTTTCGCCATTCCTTCTTCCCAGTCTTTAGGGAGCACAATTTCTAGGGACGAACACTGCACACCTAAATAAGTAACTGCCTTCCCCTCCCTAGACTGGTGCTGAGTCACCCAGGAAAGCATCCTGTGATTTTTTCTCTCTACAGAATTGTGATCTCACTGCAGTTTCGACTGAGTTGGTCAGCGAAGGACTGGCCCACGCCCTGAGAGTGGCCAGTGGGGGGAAGGTCAACAGTAAGCTTCATGGTCATCTTGAGTCCTTTGTGACAAATGCACAACCAAACTCCTATGCAAGTGTGGCCACTTGCTTCGAGGATGGGGTGGCGGAAGTGCCTGTGTGCTATCATTTCTCCCCATGGCTTACCAGCTGGACCCCCATCTTAAAATCCTTTTGACCCTGCTGCTTCATTGCCCCCTTTCTCCAGTCTGTTGACATTTGGAAACAAAAACAAATAGCCCTGGAAATCCACCAAAGCTGAGAATTTAATGGAACCCAGTTGGAATAAAGGGAGACCATTGCTTACAATGTGGGAAAACAACAGAAATGCAAACATTTTGGAGACATTTCACTAATGTAAACCAGTGCTTTCTCTCTGCTCCTCTCCTGGAAAATGACTTATCCTACTAGTTCTTAATATAAAAAATTCACCTTACCCTTCAGTGAGAGCCCGAGCTTTCTCCAGGTCTTGAATTACATTCAAAAGGACTTTGATTTTCTCTTGGTTCGAGTGCAGAGATTCCTCCACGGATTGCAGCCTGCCTTGGAGGTCGCAGAGTTCGCCCCGTGCCAGACGAACCTGATTAACCTCACCAATCTCCCTGCTGCTCTGAAGTTCATGCTCCCTCCCTGGAAGAGGGGACGGGAGGTGATCGTTTCCTGGACAGTTCCGAGGCTCCAGGGTGTCCGACTGGGTGGGGTTCTTCGCCGTCCGCTCCTGACACTCTGGGGCAGATTTGGATGCGTTGTTAGGTGTGAGTGGCGGCAGGTCCCCGTGGTTGTTGCTCGGTGAGGAGCAGTCTGAAGCCGCTCCTGGTTGGGCAGGCTGGCCGTGGGAGCCTGGCGAGGGGGAGCTGTGAGTCCGTGGAGGTGAGGGAGCACACCTTTCCTTTGACAGAGAAGACAGTGGGCCACAGTCTTTGTCATCAGAGTTGTCTTTGGGCAAAAGCAATTTGGGAGTAAGCTTCCCTGTGCCTGGCATGTGGTTGGCACCGCTGGTGGCGTTGAAGCAGGAGGAAGCTCTCTCCGAGTCTGCGGGCAGCATCCTCCTCCCGTCCCCCGGCCACGGGTCAGCCGCAGGGTGGGCCGGGTTGCTTATCTCCGCAGACCGGTCTTGGCCTAAAGCGGGCCCTCTAGATGCCCAGGTAGGACTGTGATAAATATCATCAGGGACCTGAATGGCAGCCGTTGCTTTCTCTGAGGCTCTCCAAGCCCCTGCTTCCAAGCATATGCTGACAGGCCCATTGCTCTGCACCTGGGGCGTCCGAGAGAGCAGTGGGTGCGACACCTTGATCCTCCGAGGCCCCTCCTCCAGATGCCGAGCCAGCCTTAGGTAGGCCAGGTCAGAAGGCACAATGTCCTGTTCCGAGAGGTTGCCGTTGACCTGGATGGCACTTTGGGGTGCTGTTGGCATTTCCACCAGGGACTTACTGGCCGTGAGTCTCTTCCTTTTGAAGATTGGGAAATGCTTCCTGAGACTGGGGGAGGTTTGGATCGCGATGTTCCGGAAGCCCCCGGCCTTCTGGGACCTGGGGAAGGAGAGCGAGTAGGTGGGGAGGTGATGGTGTCTGGGTGCTTGCGTCTTGCCCATCACAGGCGGGTCTTCAGCAGTGTGGACATCGACCTCTGTTAGGCCCGGCGGAGTCTTACTGGTCCCATCCTCTTTGAATCGCACCTGCTGGGACTTGCTCCTGCGGTGGTGTGGTTGCTTCACAAACTCCACCGACTCTAGACTGTTGCGCTTCAGAAGCACGGGTCGCACTTTCATATTTTGCTGGGCCATTGAGCCTCAGTTGAAAGGATCGGGACCACACACTTCTCCTGGGTGCATGTCCTTAGGTCTTTGGAGCAGCCTCTGGTGATGGCATTTCAGACACGGAGATCTGCCAGCCAAGATGGAGTGGCCCTTTCCTCTGGGTATAGGAAGCTGTGTGGGCCATCCCCAGCCCGGAGTGTCTGCTTGGGAGCTACCCGTAATGCTTCCCCTGCAGTTACAATATTATTTCATTGCAGTGATAATTGCCACTTAGATAAACAATGAGTTAGGCTAATAACATCTGATCTACCAAGAGAGCTGGCGGGCTGTTTATCAAGAGAGGCTGGCAGGAGGCTCTGATCGTGGAAAAGCTTGCTGTCTTGAACAAAAAGACAACAAAAGTACCATTTAGGGGATAGTGCCAGGCTCGCAATGTGTGAATTCCGAAAGCAACCTGCTAGGTCTGGAACAGGCAGCTTCCTTTCCTGGAGCATCAATCTTCAGTGTAAAACTACAGGAAACTTAAACACATCTTCTTTCCTTACCATGTAAACAGGCAGAGAAATCAGTGACCTGAGGGTTGGCGTCTTTGATGATACATAATGGTCCTGAGGGAACCACCCCGTTTCTGTCAATCACAGATCCCTCCCTCGGAGCCATGGTTTTCTCTCATGCTCTGTCCCTTTTCTTCAGCGAGGAACACTTATTTTCCTAAATAGCCTCACAAAACTCAGTGGGGTATGACCAGGACAGGTGCAAGGCATCTGAAGGCATGCAGAGGGCAGAGTCCCTGTCGTGTTCACACTTGGCTCGAGTTCACATGTGGGCAAGTGATCCTTGGCTGTAGCGTCTGGGAATCTAAGTGGAGAACGGCTGGCCTTGGCCTTGGAACTCTGGTCTGAGGCTTGGCAGTCTTTGCCAGCAGTCAAGGAGAGTCTGAAAGGGAAAAGACAATAGTCGCGACTGAGAATGCAGTTCCCTAGGACCTAGGTTTCTCTCCAAATTCCAACCACCCAGCTGAGCGCTGCTGTGTGGATGGTCTGGGAACAAGTCAACTTCAGTGTCTGTCCTGCCTTATGTTCACCTTTGAGCCAGTCACCTATGGCTGCAGGGCCTCGGAGCTAAATGCCTGCCTGCCTGGATCATTTCCTCCTTTGCATCACCAGCCAGCTCCTTTCATCCATGGTGTCCCAGCTTAAATGTTACTCCCTCAGGGAGGCTTTCCAATGACCCCTCCCTCATGTAGACCTCCAGTGCTAGACCATGTCAGCACCCCCATTATACCTTCTTATCACATACTTCCTAACACCAATTGCAGCTCTCCTCAAATAATTACTTGTGTGTGTATTTATTTGGTGTGCAACCCCCCCCCTCCCCCCCGCCTACCCCTGTAAGCTCCAGGATGGCTGGGTATTCCCAGCCCTCCTTTGGGCTCATTGTGGGAGCTTGATGAGCATTTGCTCATAAAGTGGATGGCTGGGTGAAGGTCCTTTGGAAGCGATTGAGAGCCTGGGCACAGGGTTCCTAGGGTGCCCTGCCAGGGCAACAGGACAGTGAGTTCTCTCTGCTACAACTATAACGTTTACTTGAGGACAAGATCTTCCCAAATGTCTTCATTTTTTAATTGCTTTCCAGGAGATAAATGTGCATCAAATTCTCTGTGGGAAGTGTACCTTGTAACAATAACAGTTACCATTTATTGAACACTCATTTTTACTGTGCTGAGGGCTTTACATGCATTAATCATAGCACCTCATTTACTGAGAACTCACTAATATGCCAGGTGCTGTTCTAAGCTGGAACTCATTCATTCCCTACTCTATAGAGTGGGAAACTATCATCGCTCAGCATCCCCATTTTACAGAGAAATTGAGGCCCAGAAAGGCAAAGTAGCTTGCCCAAGGACACACAGCTAGTGATAGGGTTGGGATCTGAGCTTAAACAGTCTGGCACCACAGCCTAGACTCTTACCCTCTACTCTCCACCACCTTTCCAATATTGCGTTATCTCATTGTCAGGATTCTTATGGGACTGATGGGAAAACTGAGGCTCAGAGAGAGTATGTACTCAGTGGGGGAACTGAGATGTGAACCCGGTGTCTGCGATTCCAAAGTCTGGGTTCTTAGCCGTGGGGTTATGACTCTGTCCCCTTGGGATCTATCTGCCCTGAGTACAGACAGATGATACCAGTGATTTGAGAAAAGAGTTTGAAGACCCCTGCAGGCCTAGAGAGATGCAGGGGACTATCCCCTTGCACTGATGTGGCAACGTGAACCTGTTTGCTACAAGTGCAAAGGGTCACACTGGGGTGAGAAAATTTGGAAGTATGCCTAGGTTGACCAAAGGATTTTAAAAGAAAACGTGATAACATAGTGCACGTTCTGTGTATGGTGCTCAGCCTTATTGAAAAGGTTGAAACCTCTGGCTTCTCTAAGCATGGGTGCTTTGCTCCCCAAACATTCTTCATTCTGCTGTGTTGGGGCACCCATGTTGTGGGTGAAGCTTAAGCGTTCTTCCTCTCCCTAACTGTTCATTAGTGCTTCACTCAGGTAAAGTTAACTCAGACTGCAGAGGTCTGAAGCTGGTTTTCATAAGAGCTAGTGTTTAGTGAACACTGATTATGTGCTAGGCATTGTAATAGCTGTTTTTCATTTACTCTCTTCTTTAATCCTGGTGACAATCTTAGAGTCAGGTACTTTCAGCATCTCTTTTTATAAACAAGGAATCTGAGACACGGGAGGTTAAATAATTTACCCCAAGTTGCTCACCTAGTAAGTGGCAGAGCTCACACTTGAACCCAAGGACTGACCCTGGAGCACAGGCTCCTGACCACTGGAACTCCCTGCCTTCTCCAGGACTGGGAAAAGACTTCTCATGCAAGGTTGTCAGGCAGATTTCAAAGTCTCTCCACACTTTCCTTTGAAAGTCAGCCATTATTCTTATTTTAGCCCTGCTTTTTTCTCCAGGAATTTATGTACCCTTGAGATGTTTTCTTTTGATCTTCAAAAACAGTTGGTTTTCTGTTTTTAAAGACATTACATGTTCATTGTAAAAATTCAAATGAAGATAAACAAAAAGGGAAGAAGAAAAAAATCATCTGAAGCCTCACCACCCAGAAAGAGCCACTCTGCATGTATGCAATTCAGTGACATTCACTAGACATCTCACTGTGCAATCCTTGCATGTGCATTCCATGCATACTGCACACCCATACAGGCTCATGGGAAGCCTTTTTATTAAAAAACAACTGAACAACATGGAGAATGTTTCATATTATGGCTGATAGGTTCACACCATCCTTTTAAGTAAGCTAATAGGACTCTGTTGTCTAGTTAAACCATGATTTATTTAAATAGTATCCTTTTGTGGATATTTAGATTGTTTCTAAATATTTGGTATTAATAATCCTGTAAGTAACATTTGTTTTTTTTGGTGAAGCTTGGAGCACTTGTTACTTATTTCTTTGGAGTAAATTCCTAGAAGAATTAGTGCGTGAAAGTACCCATACATTTTACATTTTGTTGATATGATCATTTTTCCTTACAGAAAATTCTAACATGCAACCAACCCCACTATTACTGTGTGAGAAGACCTTTTCATCAGTGCCACTCTGTCACTGTGTCTGGTCAGTTTCTGGTGACTTTTTTCATCATTGCAGATAAAATATGAGAACAATTGTCCCTGATACTTCTTACTATGAAATTTATTTAAGTTTGGGGCTTTTTCCATATGTTTGTTGGATTTACACAACATTTGGTATAGGTAAAGAATGAAAAGTTGAAAGTGATCATTTAAACATGTAGGCTAATGTGGAAACTCTTATGTCTTAAACATAACCTAGGAAGCATAGTAAATATAATGTAAACATTTTCATTTTAAAAAATTGCATAGTTATATTCCAATTCTTCTGCCCCCAATGCCCTCCAAGATCTTTGCACAGACAAGTTCTGGGGAGTACACCTGGCTAAAGGTAATGACCTTCTGTAGGCCTCAGATCTCACAGTCTCCCAGCTCGCCATTGATGGATAGAGAGTTCCCTGGGCCCTGGTGGTTAGGGCTTAACTAATATCCTGCTCAGAGTCCAGAACCGCTTCCCAGGGGTAGTTGCCACAGCCCAACGTACACCCAGAGGCTGGGAGTTATTGCTGACCTTTGCTACGTTTTATTCTTGCCTCCCTTGATTGTTGACTTATTGAACACTAACCTACTGTTTATGTTCCCACCATGAACCACATCTGGTCCACGTTGGATGGTCCTCTTGCCATCAGTGTCCATTTGGTAGGTGCAGAAACATTCAGCACTATCTCTGTAGGTCACAAAATTTGGACTTTCTCTGGAACAGACTCTCAGCTCTCTTCTGTGGGTTTTAGGCTCTACAATGAAGGATTGAGCACATAGGCTTTAGCTCATGGTTGACTTGGAATAGAACCTTCTACTTTCTGACTATTGACCTAGGACAAGAGCCTTGGTCTTTATAAAGCCACATAAAGTTGTTGTGAGGATTAAATCAGATCATCTACATAACATGGTGGCATGGCCCAGGTTAGCTCATCTGATAGAACCCAACTGGAGACCCACCGTGAGACGCTCATGAGAGTGTCTTGTCCCTTCTACTTTCCCTCAGGAGAGTAAATTAGGGGTACATTTTCAGGAAGCAGTGCAAAGATGGTGTTCCCAGGAATCCTGCCCTTTGCCCTGCCACCTCCATACTACATGTACCCCTTGGACATCCCACCTGTCTCCCTGTATGGTGATTATATGCTGACCTTCAGCCTCCTCAACTAGACTGCAAGCTCTCTGAGAGCAGAAGCTGGCCACAGTCCACTCTGAATCCCTGGCCCAGTGCCCAGCCTGATACAGAGCCCATGTTAAGTGACAGCTTGTCAAAGGAATGACTATAATCCCATATTACTATTAGTTTCTATGGCATGGAATAGTTGTATAGTTGGCATGGAATAAATATTTGTGCGACTAATTAATTAAGAGCAAATTAATTCACTTCCAACTTGCTTTCCCTTTCAAAGATA